CCGATACTAATTCTATTAAAACAATGATACCAGTGAATATGGCAATGCTGCTAGTCTATGAAGCCCATGGTTAAAAGGGTAGCTGCTGTTTAGTTAAATTTGTTAATTCCTGTGTCGAAAAATAGGTAGTTGTTTTTAAAGAGGTGCGAAATTATTGTGATCGTCTTAGTTTGTTGTTGAGGCGTTGTTAGGTTTTTGTTTAATTTAGTTTTTAGTTAATTTATGAAATGAAAAATTCTAGAAGGCAAAAATGCACAGCTGACAAATTTCTATTTTATTTGTTTGCTGCCAGAGTAAGTAAATCCTAGAGAGATACGACATGTGCCAATTAGGGAAAAGAGATTGTCAAGAATTTTGCCCGCTTAAAAAAAAATGTGTAATATACAGGGTGTTTCTAAATACATGCGACACAATTCAGGAACTGATTTCTCGTATGAAATTAAGATGGGTCTTTCCTGTAACAAAATTTCCTCAGCCCATCCCTTTTCGAGATATCACCCTTAAAAGGTGGTGACTAAAATTGAGTTTTTATTTTTTTTTCTAAAATTTCAGTAAAGCTAGAAACTTGAAATTCTGTAATCGCAAAGGACTAATCACGGGTATTTTTTCAATATTTCTGTTACATTGTAGGGGGGTGAAATTAGCAACACTTTATTTCATATCAAAACTTTTTGTCGGGATGAACTTTTATGAAATCCTTGTTTTATTTAATTTTTTTTATTCTTGAATTTTTTTCCCAAAACCAATAGCTTTAGAGAAAAAAATTAACACCCTAATTTATAATTTTTTTTTTTTAATAAATTGAGTGGAAAACTTTTTTTTTCTATGAAGGTATTGGTTTTGGAAAAATTTTTTTAAATAAAACAAGTATTTCAAGTTACAAAATTATTTCATAAAACTTCATCTCGAAAAAAGTTTTGATATGAAATAAAGTAAGGGTTGCTATATCATCTATATATGCAGGAATACACATTCGTATATTAACAAGCCACTAACCCCAAGTAGGCGGCGATAGCCAACGAATTATACCTGAATTGTAATCGGACCCTACCCAATATGATTAGCCTTCAGCGCACGACACACAACATTGCCAACTTTATGTAGCGAACATGGTTTCAAATACTTTAAGGGGAGGTCGTGAGATTCGTGCTGTGTGACGTCAGAAGGAACTGGATTGCTCTTAATAAAACAACTGTTTTGTGCGAATACGAGGCAGGCATCTGAGCTAACAAATCACTTGTAGACAAAGACATTACAACTTGTTTACATTTTTATGTGGCAAATCATTATTCCCACCAAATTCTCGTTTATTGCGTCTTTGCCGGTATTGTCAGTCTGTAAAAATTATTTGGAGAAATTACTTTCAAAAAATAAAATTTGATGTATCTTCTAACTATAATTTTTTATTATATAAATAAAAATATGTTTTTAAAGTTTTTAATGCAAGCAAATTTTTTTATTAAAAATCATTATTAATCTAAACAAAATTACAAAATATTAGGGTTGTAAAAAGAACTTCGTAAATTCGGCAACGCTGATATCTTATTTTCCGAATTTACAACTAGTACCTTTTTTAAATGAAATGTGGTTACCGTAACCAGCCGCAACGTTGCTAATCGGGTCTAACAGCTATTTTGTGTTTCTGACAGTTTCCGTGTGACTAATTCATTTATTTATTTATAAAATACTATTTTTCTGAAGTTTTGTAAAAAATATAAAGAATTATGGTACATCCATGTATAGTGTGCAATAAAGTAGATCATTTAAATCAAAATTAATCCTTTCATCGGTTAGTATTTTTAGGTTAATATATGTTGTTTTCATTTGAACCAGTGGAGTAGGACACCCGTCTTAAGACTGTACCTTGTACCTTTCAGTAGCCTGAGACTACCATAGGAAACGTACGAATTAAAAAAGAAGAATGTCACCCATCACCCTGCCACGGTATAAGAAACAATCGGCAGGCTAACTTGTCTTAGCGGCAACGCTACGCACACATCTACGCGCACATCTACGCGCACACCGCTATTTTGGGGTCCAACTTCTCAATCAAGCCAGTGGCGTCACTGTCGTCGTTTATTATCGACAAAAACAAACAAATTGCAGCAGCACGGAATCAGTAGCGTGTATCTTAAATTTATTTTGTTTGTGATGTTTGTATTATGTAGTTATTGTTATTTTTTTAGAATTATAGATATTTTTTGAAACTTTTTATATAGTAGTTGTTTTCCAGTGTTAATTTGTTAACTTTTAAGTGTTTTACTATGTCTGGGCAAAGTTGTGCAGCAAAAAAACTATATGAATAAACTGTATTGAAAGATTTTTTCGGTTTCTTAAAGATCTTATTAGGTATGTATGGTATACTGAAAAAAAAATCCTAGTTTATGGGTCAGTTTGTCAGTTATAAAGCTATTAGTAAGATGTAGGTAGGTGCCTAGTTAACGTCACGTAAAGTTTAGCGTTAATTTATATTTACTTATGTAGGTATATTATTAAGATTTAAAGTAAAATGTTATAGTTTTAAACATCTCCCGTATGGAGTTGACAAAATGGAAAATTTTTATTTTAAGGAAAAAGTCATAAAAAAATTCCGTTTGACGAAAAAATAGGTTTACTATATTAATATGTTAGGTCAGGTGTACATGGTCTTAATAAATAAACAAACTTAAAATTGACATAAGAAAAAAATCTGTATTACCTATTGATTTTACGAAGAAAAGTCACAGTTTTCCTATCGGTTTTCCTTCATAACTTTAAAAGAAAACTTTTTCTTGTAATTTTCTTCAACAAGCAGAATATTTTGTAAGGAATGACTTTTTTTTCTGAAAAAAATGAATATTAATCGTAATTGTGTTATTCCCAAATATTGAAATGCTTGACAAAAATTTAATTCTGATATTCATTTTGATAATTATTCTAGATATGCGAATAACAAAGCTTTATAATCTTGATAAATCTAAAGTATTTTCATTACAAAAAGCAAGACAATCTTAATTAGCCATTAAAGAAATTATAAGTAGTAAATTAGTAATGAGTCACAATCAAAATCATGTGTTTTAAGCAGTGCTATTAAAAATGTAAAATTCTTATATTTTGTCGAAGTAAATTCAAAATCCCGCCAATTTTCAAACTAAAATAGCATTACATCTTTCTATATTACCGACTGAGTATTAATTGCACAAAACCATATGTCGCTGAAGGTAAACATGCTGCCAAATTTCTGTGAGGAATCTGCAACTCTTAATTATCCTTCCTCCATGATGGTAACAGTGTAAACCCTACATCGGTCCAAATTCAAAGGACGTTCAAAAAATTGCAATGTTTAAATTTATTACATTCTGGAACTGAAAACTGCGAAACAGGTGGGGATGCTTTACTTGTAAGGCTGCATGAAATTCGTAGGACTAGTAAGGATGAGCCATTTTCCAAAATCGCGTGTAATGATGGCAATATTGTCGAAAATGTAAATATAAACAAGCATATTAATGAATTGCATGCACAAAATATTAATATTTTTTTAAGAAAATTTTATTATATATGCGAATTTTTAATAAAAAATTGTCTTAAAATTCAACGTTGCGATGTATGTAAACAATATGCTTAACACACGAAGACTTGGGTATAAGCTCCATGTATTGTTATTATAAAGCATACAAAAAAAGCAAATAAAGATATTTTTGGCAATTTAAAAATGTCAAATAATAGTTTTGTATGTTTAATAGCAAAAATTTAAATAATTTTTCAACACAATTTTGAATTATTTATCACTAAATCCGGCGTTTGTATTTTTTTTTTCAGATTTAATTAATTCCGAGATAACATTTGACGCTCCTTGTCCCCGATTTCCATAAATATATGTTATTAAGGGTCGATTCCACCGTTGTGTTAAACGGATATTAAAATGACATTGTTAATGTAAAAATGTCATTTTAAATTTCGTTTAACACAACGGTGGAATCGGTCCTAAGTTATATTTAAGGCTGCTCATATATTACACTTTAGAAATATTAATAGAAATTTTAAGACCATAAATAAAAACAAGCTAATTATTTGGCGCAATCTGTAGAGCTTTTTGTTTTAATACGATCCTGCCTATCAATACCTTATTTTATTACAAAATCTTTAAATTCGCTTTAATCCGACCCTGACTAAGACCCCCGAATTGCGTCGTCAAGGTAAAATTTTCTTAGTATAATATTTGTATGCGATCAGCGGAGAGTGAGTCTGCCGATTGTTTCTTATGCCGTGACCCTGCAGTGTGCTATGGTCGTGATAAGTAATTGTTAGAGTAAAAAAATCAGTAAGCATATTCATGAAACGTCTAGAAATAGAAGGTTCTAGAACAGCCATATAAATCTGTCTGTTATGCTACACAGGCCACAATATTTGTGGGTGATAACTAGAGTTGCCACCTTTTCGAAATGTAAATATATTTTCTAAAAAAGGTCTCTTGTTTTATTTTACATATTTTCTAAAAAAAAGAGGTCCCCCTGTTTTATATATTTTCTAAAAAAAAGTTCCCTATGTTATTTTAATAAGCTTTGAAAAATCGCAAGGACAATTTGTGTCATAATCATAAGTAATAATAGAGGGGCTACACAAAAAAGCTTGGAGGGCCGCTCAAAAACGTTTGGAGAGCCGTACAACACAGCTTGGAGGGCCGCAAGTTGAGTATGGCTGTTCTAAAAGTTTGAAGCGAGCTGCATAAGTCGATGATCCTGAAGTCAAATGTTCTTTTTTATAAAAGACGTTATACGATCATGTTATCAGTGGAATTGTAAAAGTTGAGTTACCAAAAACCAGTGTAATAATATTTAATTGATGGGCCCAATGCCTTTAAGTACTTTACTAGTTCTATCTCCACTGCAAGTATGAAATAAGCTTTGCCTTCCTCAATATATTCAATTCTTTTAAAGCTATATACCATTTTTTAGTTTGCTTGCTTACTTACTTAGTACTTTCTTAATGAAAAAGAAAAAACAATATTGATTAATAAAGTATTGATAAAATGTTACGTAATTTTTATTTAAAAATAAGAGTTCTACAATAAAAAAAAATTAGTTAATGCATGTGTAAAGTAACATCAATTTTCTAGTTTCATCTTACATATTAAAAGACTTCTGAGTACAAGGAAAACTCATCGCAAGATTGTAATCATCTCCAAACTGTTTAAGTTTTGGATATTGTTTGCATTCTTTGTTTAAAATATCTGAGAAACACCTATGGGAAGGCGAATATTTTCTAAAAAAAAAAAAAAATAAAAATTAATTACTAATTTATACCAATTATTAAAAAAATCGGTCTTGACAAAAAAAGACGCATGCCAGTGTTTACAAATTCTTATTTTTAACGACAGTTTTAAATTTATTTAAATCGCTGTATACTGATGTGACTAGTATCCCTGTGTTTATCAGTCACTTTAGAACCTTCCCTTTTTTATGACATGCTACTTTATCTCCATGAAAACGGCATTATTTTAGGCTTATTTTAGGCTACTTCTATACCAACATAAAAATATTTCCACTCTGGCCTTTATCCGAAAAATTAGGTGCTCTAGCTTGCCAATACGACTCTATAGTTTTTTGTTAAAAAATTGAAATAGCTCAAAAATGAATACGTCATAATTTTAGGCTAATTTTGCACCAACAACTTTTTGAAATAACTTTTTTAAATAACTCAAAAATAAGGAACATAAGCTTATTTAAAAAGCCAGCCACATTATAAATTACCATTTCTTTAGAATTAAGATAAAGCATGCTGTTCGTGCATGATAGAGCCCCGGAACACTCGTCTAGACCTATCAGAGACTACCTAAATATTCAATTTTTACATCCCTGGATAGGCCGTCGAAGACAGATGCCTTAGCCGCCCCAGAGTCCAGATTCCAATCCGCTTGATTTTGTGTATGGGGATATTTGAAGTCTCTCGTGACTTGCTATCACCTGAGAAAAATACTTGCGTAGAATATGTAAACACATGTACTGAATTTGGATACAATTCTACTATAAACGAAGCCACTAGAGTTAAAGGTAATAGTAAATCATATTTGGATCATATCTTTCTTTGAACAAAAAATTATGTCATTAGTGAACTAATTCCTTTAGTTCCTAAACAGATCATTTTACTACAATTCTGCAAGTAATGTTAGGAAAAAAAACAGAATTTAAAAACATAAAGATACCTATTCAACTTTTATTAACACAAATAACCTAAATATTATATTTCAAAATATGTGTTAGCTCCCTGTATATAATTCAGACGATCCAGATACTGCAACGAACAAATTTCTTAATATAATTCAAGAAAATCTTGCATCCGAAAGGCGCCTAAATCGAAGAAAGAATGTTAAAATTGCTCCATGGGTGACAAATGGCCTGCTTAACTAGATTATTAAAAAAAAAATCAAATTTGCACAATTCATGTTATAATGTTACGTATTTGATCGAATAAATGCGTAGTGTCATTTGGAAAATATATTATTAATTCGGTACCGTCGTCTCAAAGAATAAAAATAAAATAATAAACAAATAAAAAACAATGTAATAGCTAGCAATTCCTAACTGTTTTTTTATCATTATAAATTTTGTTTTGACAATATTGTTTGTTGCTTTATCTTTTTTTTTACTTTTGAGTTTTAAGTCTTTTCGGCGCCGTCGTGCTCCACATGACTTTGCACTTATGTAAGGCGCAGGCCTGGTTACTGTTCATCTTTAAATTCCAGTGTTGTATTTTTGTGTCGATTTTTGTTTACTTACTGACAAAAAGCACTAAAAGAAGAAGGGATCGGAGAAGTATCTTTAACTGATCCATTAATATCAGAAATGCATTTACTAAGCTGAGAACGGACGTCTTGTTTTTCATATGTTTTAACGCATGAAATTAAATCATCTAAAAAGAAAAAGAAAATAATGTTAATTTTTTTGTTCAACAATTATAACCGTACAAATTTTATTTGTAAATTTTTTTTTATATGCAATATGAAGATGATAAAGGGTGGGTTATTCATAATGAATAACCCAGTACAATACATGTTTTTTTTAAAGGCTAACTTTGTAAAAAAATCATATTTTTATGTAATCTAATAGCGTCTTCGATTCCACTGCCCTGCCTGCGTGGAGTGCACATAAAAGATGAGCGATATATCGATACCGGTTACATTTCAAAAGTAACTGGTATTGACATATCTCCCACCTTTCGTATGCACTCGGTGCAAGTCGTGCACTAGATTCGAAGACGCTATTATATTCAATTAAACTATCAACATGGAGTGTATCTAAAATAAATTGAGAAATAAAAAAAATGCAAATAAATATGTAGGGTAGGTACTGAATTTAAAGCAACAAAGTTGATGCTTACTTCCAGTATAACTGAAAGTATAAAAAGTAAAATTGATATATTTCTTAGAACCACTTGATATTTTTACAAAAGAAATAAAACTTGTAGTTAAAATGAATATGTATAAGTTATAGTTACGTTACCAATAATATATTTAAAAATACTAATTTCTAATTTATTTTACTGACTTTTGTTGACAGAAACAAATCATTTAAGGTTAACATAAAACAAACAAAGAGTAATGGTTTCCTTAAATTTTCCACATCTAGCTATCCGACCATTTATTTTCGATTATTTCAAAAAGTCGGTAAATTAAAATTTTAAAATATAAGTGTACATACTTTTTATGGTTTCATAATGATCACAAATAAAGTTGATTTGGGATTTTGCTATCTTTAGTAATACATCTGGATAATACTGTTGCTCCTTTGTTAAACAATGTTTGGCTTTCTGTATAGGTAACTTACTACAATCGTCCAAGTTTTTTAAATATTCCTTTTTTTTTTCAACGTATAAAGTGGTTTTGTTGACACAGTTAACTAAGTCATCGTAAGTTTTCTAAAAATAAAAATACATTTAATAACTAACCTACATTAAAACAATTGGATTTTAAATTGAAGACTTTGGCGTAATAAGGTTACACGCCACATCCTAATTTTCGAAAAAATTGAGTTTTAATTTGGTTTTAAATCTGTCGAATATAAATAAAAAAAATATTTAAATATAAATATTACAAAAAGTAGCGCCATCTTTCGGATTAGAGGTAAAAAAAATTGCTATGTGGCTAGTATCCTTGTTAACAGATCACACTCTTAGTTATCAAGTGACTCAATTTAAAATTTGCATTTTAAATTTTCAATCGTAAGACGGCACAAAATGGCGCCTTTCATGTGTGGAGCTTTTTAAATGACGGTGCTACTCTAACTCTAAGACGTACTGCGTCATTTAAAAAATTCTACACATGGAGGGCGTCATTTTCGAAAGTTTTAGGATTAAAAATTTAAACATGTAAATTTGAGTTAGGCCACTTTATTACTGAGTGTGCGAGATGTTTTGAGCTAAAACAGTAACATCACGACAAATTGTATCCTTTTTACACCAAGGGCTTTAATTATTGTATTTTTGGAATATAGTATATAGAGTCTGGTTTCTATTCATTTAAAACGGCCATTTCAAATCCTTTTTTTATAAGTAATTTTCGCTAGTTAATCTAAAGCATGGGCCTACCACATCAGTACTATTCTTGTATAGTTAACTTAAAGTTATAAGAAGAAAGAGCAAAAGGGAGAATAGGACACTTCGGATAAAAATGTTAAACATAAAGACGACGTCTTACATCTTGCACTTAATGCTACTACATGTACAGATGGATGATACATTGACTCTGGCTGTACTACACCATACGACAGCTAGAAGTGATTGGCTTTCAGAATTTTTTTTTACTTGAAACTTTTAGGTTCGGTTAGGTTGAAGTTGGAAATGCTGTCATCGCTACAATAGATGGAAAAAATAGTTTTCAATGTAGTTTTAGTTCTCGATCTTTGAAGAAATGAATTTTCCGTTAGTAAGATAGTAGATAAACGACATACAGTCGTATTTAACTCTCATGGATGTCAAATATATGACTCATGGACTTTACCGGGTTATTATTAATTCAGAGCTACAAATATTTATAAGAACAGAAAATAACACGGAAAAAGTCTGTCATTAAGAAGCCAGGCATTTAAAGAGAATCAGTATGCATTTATTAAAAAACAAATTAGTTCATGGAATCAATATTCCGATGTACAGGAAAAGCAGTGTTTCGAAGGTAAGCAGACCCGGAAATTATTTAAAAGAACTAGAGGCAAGTGAGCTAAAGAGTTATTAAAGATATTGCACACGGGTTTATGTAGTCCAAAACCAGAATTTTCCTGGAGTGGTACAATATATACAAACATGATGCCAAACAAGATGACAAAATTTTGCTGTAATGGTAGAAGAAAAAAACTGCTTCGAAGTGATGACAAGACTGTATATGTAAATTACAATTTTAAAGGCATTGCATACTATTCATAACAAAATGGAAAAAATAGGTTTAATATTAAAATGACAAGGTGCATGATGATGCAAGGCGCAACAAGCGATAAGGAATGTGTATTTAAAAAATCGCTCCCCGCATAAAGCTGTGAAAGAGGAAATTTTGACTGGTCCAAAAGACAACACCTTTAAAGTATTTGGCAGTGCTGCCCAAGCTCATGTTCCTAAACAGTTGAGACACAATTGGAACCCTAACAGTAAAAGCCACTCTTTTTGTTTCTATTTTACAGAAGCAAATGAATATAGATTATTTGACCCCAAAAATCTGAAAATCAATAATAAATAAGTTAATCAAAAAAGCAGTCGCCTAAAATATTACCGGTTTTATCTTCCGATATACTAGTAAACACCCATGCAGACCAGGAAGAAATAGAAGATAACATCAAAAAGTAAAATTAGTTTCAGAGACATTGAAGAATTGGTAACAAGTATAGAAGAGAAAGAATCCAGATACTTTTTAGAAAGTGTGAACAAATTTTTTATTATGTTGCATGCAAAAAAAGATGATCCTGAGACAGTTAAATAGGCTATGGTAAGACCAGATTCAAGTCACTGAAAAGAAGCTATGCATAAGGAATATGATTCCTTGCTGAACATGTGTTTTCAAGTTTAAAGAAACATAGAACTTTAAAAAAAGCTGTCGGTTTTATTTCTTCCTCTAATGAAAATATGTACCCAATAACAAATATAATATTCTATAATAAATTCAGAGAGAACAGCATTATACTTGTCTTTGAAAAATTACAATTTTAAAATGTTATAAGTCACGACTACATCGTATCCATTCTGGAATCTGAGTTTCTTTACTATACCTGAATAGTGGACTAAACCCCTTTTGACACATTCTACCATTCCCTACTATTTAATGGGAACAGGATATTCTCAAATATCGTCAGAATTACACAGCACACATTTCCTAATGGTTATAGAGATTGGGACGTTCTCCTCGGATTCAGAGATCTTTAATCAACATCGTCATCATATATTCCTGTTTATACAGGGTATCATCAAGATTTAACTTATTTTGGTAATGACGTAATTAATTATTTTTAATTTTGTTCTTTTAATCCAGTTGCATATGAATTGGATTAAAACAAAATGTATTAATAATACTTTGTAGCGTCAATAATCCAGGTAATCTACGTATTTACATTACAGCAGTTATAAGTAGCAAAGTTATGTCTAGCGCATATTAATTGGATCATAATTGAAGCGCCCGTTTGTTAAGCCAAAGATAATTTTTTGATGCAAATATTTTATCAACCACATATTTATCTCCTGAAACAAATATTGACAGCATTAACTTATCTTTTTATAACATTGCTATGCGAAAATCGTATTGTCTACCACAGAAAGACCATCAAACTTGCAAAAAAATAACATTTCTAAGGAATAGTAAGAAGTAAGTAAGTTTATGAACCGAAAATAATCGAAAATGTTTAAACAAAAGTTAAAACTAGACGTAACTTTTTATAAATATAAATATCCAAACTTATATTTAACCTTCATGGCAAGGGAAAAACTACTTCTCTCTCTATTGAAACATCGCAGGATTTAGATAATTAATTGTATTTAGAAAATATAATAATTATGAATGCCTGACATTGAAAACAACGTTATAACAAGAACAATAAACAAGATATTGGGTCAATACGTAAATAGTATAATGTTTTTTATATATTATATGCAAATAGACAGCATTTCAATAACAAAGAGAAAATAATGGAAAATGAGAATTTTAAGTTATTTAGAAATATTAAATAAGAATTACGTAGGGAAAATATTTAATTAGGTTTATGTATAAGTATATCTATTTATTACATGTTTACAAAATGTTTAAAGTATAAACAATTGTTTTTATTATTCGACATTGATCTATTGTGACGAGGAGCCGACCCTGTCTATTAAGCAACTTTCAACCTGCCACCGATTTATGATCGAAGCACCGCTAACGTGTGGAGACAGTCGGCCCGCGTTTCGAATATACCAGAACAAGCGGTGCGTGACGTTGAGTCATAAAGATGGGACATTCCATCGTCGTCTGGAGACTTCTCGTAGCAGAGTTGGACTTGTTATAAATAGCACGACTTATCGGCAAACGAGTTAGTTAAGAATAAAGTGTTGAACAGAAAAGTTAAATTGTAAATAGTGTGTTTTAAATAAATAAATAAACTATAAATAAATTAAACTATCGTTCCACTATTATGAACTATAAATAATATATTACATTTTCGGTAAATAATTATTTCAAAGTGCATAGCTATCAGTTCTTATAGGTTAGTAAAAGTTACTTTAGTTCAGATAAGTTTGTATGCAGCAAAAATTTTCTTTCAGGAGTATATAGGAGGAAAAGAACGTGTACGAAGCACAAAAAAGAAGATAAAGGCAGTAATCAAATACCATTGTCACTGTACAAGAAGAAAAAAAAAGAAGAAAGAAAAGAGGTCAAATCCAAATCCAGGACCGTATTAAGGCATTCCAGGGTTTTACGATCTATGGCATAAATAGGCCGAATTCCAGGACTCCAGAATTCAAGGCTATAAAGAGACTGCTACATCCAAATTTAAAAATTTAGGGGACCAACCAGTACCACTAAGCTCACAGAGGGAATGGGCCATACCGCCAAGTGAACTTGACATGAAGTTGGGTCCGTTTTGAGTCTGTGGGGGCCAAATCTACAGCGTGAAAAGGATGAATTTAAATGCAGAAACAAAGGACCAACAATAATCTATATGGAATGGACTGAAGTTCAAAGAAAGAGGCCATTCACAGTATTTAGTTAATAGGGATCTACCAGTAGCAGTCAAGTACAGCAGCCATGTACAGTAACAGTCTCACAGTAGCAAGCCAGAGAATCAGAGAAGCAATTCAAAGCAGAAAGTCAACCAGAAAGCCGCAGTCTATTAGAAAATAGATAAACTATCGCAGCGGAAAGAACCCGCAACCTTAGACAAAAGGGTCACATGATACAGCAGCTCAACAACCAAACCATATCGGGAAGGAACCTTTTCAGAAAGGTCAAGGATTAGGGCATAATGCGAAGTGACAGCCAGAAAGGAAAGGATAGTAACGGCAAACCAAGCAAAGAAGATACAACTTGTGCTGTGAAGCAAGCGTAAGGTTACCATTTATATTGTTTCAGATAATTTTGATTATTTTTGTAAATTTATATTATTATTTAAAATCAAAGAATTTAACAAAAAGTATTTTTTAATGTTTTATCTTAATATTCATAACAAAACGCACGTATTGCAATAAAACAAATATTTAGGTTATTACTCTAGTCAGTGTCTTACACTGAACTAGAGAATTATTCATTTACTACGTTGACATTCTAAAAAGTAAAATGTCATGTACATTTTTGGTTTAATAAGAGAGACTAACTAGTCTTGAATAAGAAAAAACTCGAGTAAGGACTGTTGTCCGAAACTCTTGCCATAATGTGTAAAGTTTTGTGCAGCGAGTTGTGTAATGTCGGTTAATGTCTTTAACTGATTTTAAAAGAGTTTTTAGGTTCTCTTTTTGTAATAATTAATGAATTACATATAAATACCAATTTTTACATTTTCTTCCCGAGTATCATATTTGTCTTATATATCATTACATAGTTAAAGTTCCCAATGTTATTTTAGTTGGTAATAAGTCTAAACTATATAATTATCAAATATATATATATTATCAAATAGTGCTTTATTCCCTAAATATAATTTGAACAATTTGTTCTTGAGACTATTAGTCATTTTGTAATTATTTTAAATATATCTTTGTTATTGATTAAAGGAATAATTTTTTTTTATTTTATTTTTATTTGCGCAGGTGAATGGATGTTCCTTCTGGACTCCAGGCAGTGCTGCCCTAATACCTTGATAGTTTATTGACAACAGTAGCTAAAAACCTATCAGTTATTACAAATAGGTCTTTAGACTATCTTGTTTGTTACAATAGGCCAACGTTAATAAATACAAAAGTCGTAAGTATAATAGCAGAAGTAGTATCCATCGACCTATTATCTTTGAAAGTATTAAAAACCTTTTCCAAAAGAGGAGCGAAATCGAAGTACCCGAAAGAGATGAACTTCTAGTGAGCCTGATAGATTTGAGGAATCTAAATACTGTGGTGGCAGTAGATACATCTTTTTAAATGTCAAAGATGGGCGTTTAGCAAATAAAAACTCGAAAACTTCATTGGGCAGATATCACCACTAACAACATGTATGAATAAATAAATCATGCAAAAAACTGGGAAGAAATTAGTAAATTTTCTAGGGAATAAGTAAAAAAGGTAAATGCACTATAAAATCAAAGCGGCAAAATGATAATAATAGGCTTTGTCAGAGGGGTTTTTGAAGTAATTCCGTCTATGTGGTTACCATTGCTGGAGCCAAAAGCTTTCTTCTCAAATAAAATAAAAATTGGTTATTATGGTATGATGTGATTTTAATCAACCCCTCTCAATGTTGACGTTGTTAGCGAAAATCCTATCAATTAATAACTAAGTAGTTTTTGTGCAGTTTTATGACTAGATTTGTAAGTTACATATATTATTAAAAAATATAAATATACGTTCCAATGTTTGCGCGTTAATAATTTCTTACATATACATACCTCTAAATCATTTTCAATATTATGTCCATTTTCTTTACAGCTATTAATGATATTTTGTTTCATGCGAGTCATGTATCCATATGCAATCGGTGAACCACTTAATATTACTAGCTTAGACACTACAAAAAAATAAGTGTTATTTACCAAATATTTTAAACACAAACAGAATTGTTAAAAGAAATGCAATAACGTATCTGTGTGGGTATTCCTGTCTGTATTTTTTAATTTGATCTGTATCATCAGCAATTCCAACACTTGGATAAAGTCCTACTAGCTATTCCGCATTTAAGTAGGTATAGGAATGAGTTTGGTCTTGTTCAATTTTTTTCATAATACCTTAATTTACGTAGTAGTTGTCAGTTACACAATTTCTAATGAGTGAAAGATTATAATAGCAAACGCAAGACGCAAATCTGAATGTAGTTGATGAGAGACGCAAGTGCAAGAGAGCAATAAAAGGATACAACCAGTTTGAACATGGCAAATTTCCAGTGTTGCCGCGTATTGCGTATTACTATAAATAATGATGATGACTTTGAGCGGTGTGTTATGATGTGCAATATCAACTGGCTATCTATAAGGTAGGGAATTGGTGTTTTAAGGTAGGGCATTGCCCCTATGTGTTTCCCTCTGGCTACAGCATTGCAAAATCACAAATTTAAGTACGACCCAGACATCTTTTTATCTGCTATTTATAAATATAAATCTCTTTCTGTAGATTTTATGTTTTATTTTGAATTTTTCTACAATTTTATTCAATATTAAAGTTCTCATTGTTAAACAACACCAGTTTACGATATTATTTTTTGTTCTACTTCCAATCTTCCATCTATGTTTTCCGCTATCTAATTTTATCATTTTCCTCTTCTTTCTACTTGGTAATAAACTGTGTGGTTATGCTTATAAGTACTATGTAAAAGGCTAGAGAAAGAAAACTTAAAACCAACGACGATCAACTACTAGACTAATTTTGTTTTAAACAATCAAATTGTAAACATTTATAGTCTTATGCACGTAGTTGTCAAATTATTATAAAAGAGTATGAAAGATTCTTGTTACAAGGATTATTTTTGGTTTTAATTCGTTATTGACTTAATATAAGACTCTAAAATGCACAAAAGACTTTTAAAATTATACTAAGGAGGCATACTTGCATTATTAATGTATTTTTCTAGTTGCATCTATCATAGTTAAAGGTGTTTTTTTAGGAAACTACGCAATTAATTTTTTAGTAGGGCAGCAGTGTAAAGTAAGCGTCGTAGAAGAAAATACTTATTCAGTCACAAAACGCATGCTCGATCATAAGAAGAACAAACTCGCAAAAATCATCCCTGCTCAAATAAGCAGCCATCTTCTTCTTTCTAACGCGGCAGCCAAAGCATCAGCTCTGTCTGCGTAATATAAAACACAATCTAAATTATTGCAATAAATAAGGGCTTAATTATGAATGAATGGATTATTTTGGTAGTTTTTCATCGTCGCTTAAATCCTAAAGAAAATACACTTAGAGATTTCTATAAGATAAAATTATTAAATAAATAAAAATAATTAAATACTTACCAGGTTGTTTATCTAAATCTGCTTTAACTGCTAGGGTAAAACCTAAAAATAATAATATTTAGTGAATCACATTCATTTCTTATTACAAAAATGTTGGAATAATAAATTAAATATTAAATAAACTTTTTATGTGTAAAACTTACTATATATTTATTGTAACTCACCTAAAAGAACAAAAAATGTACGAACAATCCACGTCATGGTAACTGCTATACTAGTAAAAGGCAATGAAAAATTAAGAAGACCAAGTGGCTCAATAAATTCTAAATTGAAAAATAGATGCAAATTATTATTACAGAAAATGAGAACAATAAATAAATAGACCTTTAAACAGATTTATTAGTTACTATCTTAAACTAACAACGGAAACTTTAAAAATAATAATAATAAGTACTTATCAATTTTTCACTGAAAAGTTACTGGGTTAGGCTTTTTTTATACTAGGTGTCTTGTACCGTCATGTTCTAATATTTAAAAACACAAACATCTAGAAAGCACTAAGTAATTGCAACAGTATTACCAGAAAAGAGACTAATAAATATATAAAAATTCAATTTGTGGTTATTAAGTTATGTTATGGCCTTCAAGAGCTATTATTACTCTTTAAACGCATATTACATAATGACAACATTCAAAAATGCATGCACACGCTTAAATTGCTGGATAGATGAAATATAGCTGGGTGCAATGCAAACTACAAAAAAACATTATTATCTTTAATGTTTAAGGTTTTGAATTGTAAAAGGATAAAAGTAATTTTTTTGTCAAAATAAATGTTCAAAAGAATATACAGTGAGCACCATAAGTCTTACCCCCCTATCTAACTCATTACTGGAGTCTTGTTAGGAAAATCGCCAAGACACATCGATTTTTGATTTCTACAATATACATTTTTGTATGAATAGTTTACCCTTAATTTCATCCCTTACTGGAGGGGAGCAACCCTTTCGAAAAATTTAAATGGCATGGGGTGGTGAGTGATAGCTCATTTGAAAGAGGGTTTTATTCTCTATTGCAGCGTGTAAAAAAAAATTTAAATTTGCTTCATTAATTCTAGACTAATTGTTGTTTCAGAATAACGGAAATTAACGTAGCGCACACATCCTTAGAATTAAAATTCGGCCCTGCATGATTTCGGTTTTGGTTCTGACGTAAAGTAAGACTTTTTGCCATTAGAAGGTCACTGTTAGTCTAGTTGCTTTCCTATTTTGTGAGGTTTTAATATTTTTAAACATTAATAAATCAACACGTAATGAAGCAAATTTCAAAATTTTTTGCACGCTTGAATAGAGAATAAAACCCCCTTTTAAATGAGCTATCACTCACCACCCCATGCCATTTAAATTTTTCGAAAGGGGTTCTACCCTCCAGTAAGGGATGAAATTAAGGGTAGACTATTCATGCAAAAATGTACATTGTAGAAATCAAAAATCGACCTGTCTCGGCGATTTTCCTAACAAGATCCCAGTAACGAGTTAGTCAGGGGGACTTATGATGCTCACTGTATATGCTGTTTTTTTTTGTTTGAAGCTTATTGAAGTAACTTTATTATTACAGTCAAAAATATGTGGTTTTCAACTATCTATTGCCATAATAAAAGTTTTAAAAGGAGTGCTCACACAAAAAATCCCCAATAAGATTGTATCATCTCAATTTATCTCAAAATGTCAATTTGGTAATTATATTATTTATCAACAAAATATTTCTCATTTTCACATCAAACAAAAATATTTTTAAATTTACTGATAATAAAAATACGTTTTGCGCGTTAATTTAATTTTATGTATTTACACAGTAACCCACAGAGATGCAAAGCATTAGTTCCTATATTTCCCAAATTAAATTCTCTTTCGGAAACGTGAAACGGAAATTGACATTTCCTATTCATCGAGTACCTACTATTCGTGGTCCTCCTGAAAAATTATCTTTTTTTTTAATCGAAGCATGTTGTTCGTTCAGTTTTTACGTCGGGAATAACGAGAAATTTTTAAAACCAGAATACACACCTATGTTAGATAAATACAAAATCCATCAGAGACTAAAATGGGATACTTTTTATTACGAATGTTGCAGTAAGCGACCGAATCCGACGACATTTCTAGAACAAACGACTTTGCCACAAGTGCTTTCTGAGTAAATTTTATAGATCTCTTCCGCTAATAGTATTTGCCTGTTTTATTTCGCATTGTCTTAGGTTATATTTTAACATCATAGTTTAAGATATTTAATATAAAGGTTTTTGTTTTAAAATTAATTGGTAAAGTTATGCAGGGTGGGTCAAATGTGTGGAACATTGAGTGTAACTTTTGACACAGGGTACATACAGAGGATCAACTTCATGCAGATAGACCGGTAGCAGAGAGGGTTTTTGCATGTGTCATAGGCCCCACGCCGGGGCTTTTGAGGTTGATTGACAATGTTATTCCCCACTTTGAATTCCCGGTATGGCACCCCTAAAGTGTAGCTTTTGGGGAGGGGGGGTGAATTTTCAAAAGTGTTATTAATATCCATACCCCTGGATCATAGGCCCCACCTTGATTCTTGTTTTATGTAGTCAAGGAGGTTTTCAAAGTCCGAGAACTCAATATGACCTACCAATATGGCGTCACTTAAGGCCCGCCATACTTACGGAAACGTGTTATATTTCCACTGTGGATATAGATCATGAGCCGCACGCTGTTGTTTCGTGATCTTTGTTAATAATGAACAGTACAACAAAGATTTTAAAACGCCATACCTCTGAAGCGTCGCCAAGTGGTCGCCATAATGGGGTAAACATGTAATTTTTAGCAACGAACATGTCTAATAGGTACCGGTATGGCGTTTTGGTTTCAAGATGCTCTGTTGCATCACGTTGGCGGGAATTAAACTGCCATACTGATAGCGTGTCACTAAAGGGGTGCCATACCGAAAATACTATTATTTTTTGTGTTTAACGACGCTCTGAAATGACTGTAAAAATCAAACTTGTAAAAACAAAATGGCGGACCCAGTATGGTACACAAAAATGTCCAAATTCCAAAAATGTGAAATTGATAAAAATATTTTCAAGATTAGAAATGCCGGATTGCTTCCATTTTTCTGAAAATGTGTACTTATAGGTTATCGAGGTCACTGATGATAAAATCATTAAATTTTATCGTTAAACCACTGATCAACGAGAAGTATTAATAATATACAAAAATATTATGCAAAATAAAATAAAATAATTATAAAATTAAAATGCGCCTACAGGTCCACGATACATAATCTGGTATATACAGGGTGTTAGTAAATAAGTGCGACAAACTTCAGGGGGTGGTTCTGCATGAAAAAATAATGACAATTTGCTTTATAAACGTATGTCTGAAAATGCTTCGTTTTCCGAATACGGGGTGTTTTTCTTAAAAACTGACGATTTGTTTATTGCTCTGAAACCGGTCAAGATATGCGAATGAAATTTGGTGGATTTTAAGAGGTAGTTATTCAGCATTTTTTGACATACAATTAAGAATTTTATGTATATCATTGGCGTGCATACGGGTAATGATCTCAATTCATTTAAAGAAAGAAATGGTACGCCACTGAGATATTTAAAATTAAAAACCATTTTTAAATTCCTCATTAAATTTGTCACAAAAAATATCTCTGGCCTTTTTTTCGTGTGGGGCGCTGTTTTTATGCAAAAAATAAAATATCTTAACGCGTATTTTGCATTTCTTTAATACATTATTATCTAATAGCGACGCTAGTACTAGTAGGCTATTGTCAACATTCTGTTAAATACGAATAGTTTAACGAAATGTCAAATTAGCGTTTCTTCATTAATAAGCTTTTATTTTGGTATAACATTAATGTTAATAAGTAATTAACTTTTCTTTTATCGAAAACAATGGAAAATTATACAAACGTGGAATTGTCAGACATGCATTTTGTCTATGATCGAAGTAATGGAAATGGTCGGCAAGTTCGACGATTGTATGCTGAGTTGTATCCAGGACGTAGGGTACCCCATCACACAATATTTGCTCGCCTTCACCAACGTTTGCGCGAAAATGGTACATTTAAGAAAGTACGAACTGTGCAACTAGAAGAAGCAGTTCTCGAGTTAATTGCGGAGTCACCGGAAACAAGTACTCGAAAAATTGCCAACATATTAAATGTAAGCAACTTCACTGTATTTAGAATTCTTAAAGAACAGCAGTTGTATCTGTTTCATATTCAACGTCTCTACTACCTAGAGACTTTCTTTCGCGCCTATTTTTTTGCCAATGGATTCTTCATCAAATCGCTCAAATTCCTAATTTTTTAAATAGAGTTTTGTTTACTGACGAAGCTAATTTTGGTCGAGAGTCTATACGAAATTTCCATAACAATCACTTATGGGCTGAGGAAAATCCACATGAAGCTCATTTTCAGCATCAGTTTTCGGTAAATGTATGGATTGGGGTAATTGATGATTATTTAATCGGTCCATATTTCCTCCCACAACGACTAACAGGCGACTCTTACCTTAATTTCCTACAGGAAGAGTTACCTGTTCTTCTTGAAGAAATTCCTCTACAGCTGAGACAACACTTATGGTTCATGCATGATGGTGCACCAGCCCATTTTAGCATTGATGTACAAAATCACTTAGATGCAGTATATGCAAATCGTTGGATAGGTAGGGAAGGTACGGAACATTGGCCTGCTCGATCGCCGGATTTAAATCCTCTGGATTTTTGCATTTGGGGTTTCCTTAAGTCACTAGTTTATTCCACTCCCGTCGAAAATGTCGGAGACCCGAGGAACCGAATGTGAGACAATAAGAAATATACCAGGACAATTTGCGCGAATACGACAATCAATGCGGCGAAGAGTTGAATCTTGTCTCACGTCTGAGGGAGGTCATTTTTAGCATTTGTTGTAGCTTTGCGCCTATTTAAAATTTTATTAGTTTTATTTTCTGTTATTGTTCTAGTTTAATGTTATTGTAATAGATAGTTCTTGATAATGTATTAAAGAAATGGAAAATACGCGTTAAGATATTTTATTTTTTTGCATAAAAACGGCGCCCCACACGAAAAAAAAGCCAAAGCTATTTTTTGTGACAAATTTAATAAGGAATTCAAAAATGATTTTTAATTTAAAATATCTCAGTGGCGTACCATTTTTTTCTTTAAATGAATTGAGATCATTACCCGTATGCACGCCAATGATGAACATAAAATTCTTAATTGCATGTCAAAAAATGCGGAATAACTACTTCTTAAAATCCACCAAATTTCATTTGCATATCTTGACCGGTTTCAGAGTAATAAACAAATCGTCAGTTTTTAAGAAAAACTTTAACACCCCCGTATTCGGAAAACGAATCATTTTCTGACATACGTTTA